CGCTCTCCCTGGGCAAGCGGAGGAAGTCACAGCCCAGCCCCCCTGAGGCCCAGCCCCCCGAGACCTAGCCGCTGAGTCCACCGCGGTAGCAGCACCCCCATGCCGATGACACTGGGGTACTGGGACATCCGCGGGGTGAGCGCGGGTCCACCTTGGCGGTAGCAGGGGTCCGAGGGGCAGAGGAGTGCGGAACAGCCGGGGCACGGGTTCTAGAGCTGGTTTCTCTTCAGGGCGAGCTGGAAGCCACTGCTTGTCCCTCTCAGGAGGGCCTGTGCGTGCCTGGGTGTGCATGTGTGTATGGCGGGAAGTGCAGTAGGTGTAGACTGGGGGGCTCACCTGGAGCTGATAAAATCACGCCTCTCTGCACTGTGCCCTGGTCTCTCCCAGTTGGCCCACGCCATCCGCCTGCTCCTGGAATACACAGACTCAAGCTATGAGGAAAAGAAGTACACCATGGGGGATGGTAAGTGCACCCTCTTGTCCCGACCTCTGCTCTCTTGTGCTGAGTTGGTCGCAAGCAACCCCTGTGTGGCCACCTGTTGCTACCTCTGCTGGCCTCCATGGGCTGGTTCTGCAACCAACCCCCACCCTAAACCCCTTGGAGGGTGCAGGCTTGCCTTTCAAGGCAGGTAGCTGGGAGGGGATTGCTGGTCAATGATCCCTATGAATAATTGTGATGGGTTCCCCCTAGGGCCTGCCTAAACCTTTGCAAGCCTTAGTCATGGAGGTTTCAGAGCCCTTCCAGGGATTCTTTTTTTTTTTTGAATTGGAGTCTCACTCTGTTGCCCAGGGTGGAGTGCAGTGGCACAGTCATGGCCACCCCAGCGTTGACCTCCTGGGCTCTGGCGATCCTTCCACCTCAGCCTTCAAGTAGCCGCAACTACAGGCATGTGCTACCATGCCCAGCTAATTTTTGATTTATTGTAGAGACAAGGTCTTGCCAAGTTGCCCGGGCTGGTCTTGAACCCGCGGACTCAGGAAATCCACTCGCTTTGGCCTCCCCAAAGTGCTGGGATTACAGGCTGAGCCACCGAGTCCGGCCCCAGGGATTCTTCTCCCCAACCTCAGAACACGAGACAGGGGTGCGGATTCTAGATCCATCTGACCCAGGGGTCTTACCACAGAGTCCTTGGGAGGGTCCCGGGAAGAAGGGTGTGACTCTGGGCGGCTTGTTTTCACCTCCTCTTCTCCTTAACAGCTCCTGACTATGACAGAAGCCAGTGGCTGAATGAAAAATTCAAGCTAGGCCTGGACTTTCCCAATGTAGGTGCAGGGGAGGGGGCGGTTTTTGGGAAAGTCAAGGTGTCTCTGCATGTCCTGTCTCCAGCCTAGAGGTTCTACATCAGGTGTCTTCTGCCTTCTACTCTTGTGCCTGGTTTTGTACACTGCCTTCCCATGACGTTCTATGTCCCAGCTATTCATCTACTTCATTCATTCATCTGCTTTTTATCCTTTTTTTAAATTTTTTATGTTGGAATCTCATTCTGTCACCCAGGCTGTAGTGCAATGGCATGCTCATGGCCACTGCAATCTTGACCTGTGGTGATCCTTGCGCCTCAGCCTTCCAAATAGCTGGAACCACAGGCATGTGCCACCACACCCAGCTAATTTTTTGATTTTTATTGTAGAGTCAAGGTCTCTACATGTTGCTCAGGCTGGTGTCGAACCCATGAGCTCAGGCGATCCTCTTGCCCCTCAAAATGCGGGGATTACAGGTGTGAACCACCGTGCCTGGTGTTTTTGTTTTTGTTTTTGTTTTTGAGTTAAGGTCTCACTCTGTCACCCAGGCTGGAGTGCAGTGGCATGATCATGGCTCACCATAGCCTCGATATCCTGAGCTCAGGTGATCCTTCCATCTGAGCCTCCTGTGTAGCTGGGACTATAGACACATACCACCACACCAGGATAATGTTTTTGATTTTTGTAGAGAGGAGATCTCACTATGTTTCCCAGGCTGTTTTTGAGCGCCTAGCCTCAGGTAGTCTTCCTGCATTGGCCTCCCAAAGTGCTAGGATTATAGACATGAGCTATCGCACCCGGACTTCATTCCTCTACTTTCCAGTGTTCTTTTTTTTTGAGTTGGAGTCTCACTCTGTCACCCAGACTGGAGTGCAGTGGCATGCTCCCGGCCACCGCAGCCTCGACCTGTTGGGCTCTGGCGATCCTTCTGCCTCAGCCTTCCAAGTAGCTGGAACTACAGATGCGCGCTACCACGCCCGGCTCATTTTGATTTATTGTAGAGATGAGGTCTCACCAAGTTGCCCAGGCGGGTCTTGAACCCACGGGCTCAGGCAATCCACTCACCTCAGCCGCACCAAAGGTGCGGGATTACAGTCTGAGCCACCGAGCCCGGTTTCCAGTGTTTTTACTTAGGGCCAGCATGGGCAGGTATAGCAAGTGCCAGGTGTCACCTGTGCCTCGCCTAAGGCCTGGCAGCCTGACTGACTTTGCCACTTGCCCTTCAGCTGCCCTACTTAATCGACGGGGCTCACAAGCTCACCCAGAGCAATGCCATCCTGCGCTACATTGCCCGCAAACACAACATGTGTGAGTGGGGCTGGCTGCGGGTGTGGGGAACAGTGGCCTTCCCCTGGGCTTGGCTAGGGGGTGAGACTGGAGGTGAGTCTCTGTGGTGTGTGTGGCAGGTGGGGAGACAGAAGAGGAGAAGATTCGAGTGGACATTTTGGAGAACCAGGCCATGGATGTCTCTAATCAGCTGGCCAGAGTTTGCTACAGCCCTGATTTTGTGAGTACGCCCTGGTCTAGGCCAGAAATGGAACCCGGATCTTGCCTGTCCCTCCACCTGGTCCTGTGCTCGCTTGAAGTCCTTTTTGCTGCTGATCCTCCAAGCAGTTTCCTGTACCAGAGTGATCCCTATAACACTAACCTATCTCACATGAAACTGGAACCACCTGCCGTTCCTCGGAAGTCCAGACAGCCCTGGTTGGAAATTCAGTCATGTGTTCAGAATCTCTCTTCTGCTGCCCTCTGACTCTGAGCCATCTCTTTTTTTTTTTTTGAGTTGGAGTCTCACTCTGTCACCGAGACTGGAGTGCAGTGGCCGCTCCCGACCACCAGCCTCGACCTGCTGGGCTCTGGCGATCCTTCCACCTCAGCCTTCCAAGTAGCCGGAATTACGGGCATGCACTACCACACCCGGCTGACTTTTTGATTTATTGTAGAGATGAGGGCTTGCCAAGTTGCCCAGGCGGGTCTCGAACCCGCGGACTCAGGCAGTCCACTCACTTCAGCCTCTCAAAGGCACAGGATTACAGGCTGAGCCACTGAGCCCGGCTTCTGATCCATCTCTTCATGGGTCATGCCATCTGCCTGCTCCTGGAACATACAAACTCAAACTATGAGGAAGACAAGGACAAGATGGGGAAATAAAATGGCACCCACACACTCGGAATTCTGCCCCACCCTTTTCCGGGTGTTTCTCCTTAACACACACAGGGTTCAGCACATTTACCTAGTAGGCAGCTCAGGTTCAGCCAGAGGGACTCTTCCCTCTCCTTCCTACCTTTCCATTGCAATTCTTCTCATCTTTCTGGAAACGACTCCAATGTCCATCCATTCCTTTGCTTCCCCACCAGATGGGCCTTTCGACTTCTTTCCCTGAGCGCTTTCTATTCTTTGCATCTTTGATTTGGCTTGATGTTGAGTCCAGAGCCTGCCAGTGCTCAGGGGCTCCTGAGTCTGACCCATAGGAGAGTTGTCTGGGGGTCAGTGGTGACTGATTCAGGGACAACTTCATAATCCCCTCTACCTTCTCGTGAGGTCTGGTACCCAGTAGGAGTCTAATAAATGTTGGTGTATGAAATGGAAGCTTGGGCACTGACTCAGTTCCAGTTGTTGGGAGGTGTTGGGAGGATGACTCATGGCCAGCTGGGGCCATGCACAGCCCTGGGAGGCCTGCTTCTGTGCAGGGAGCTTGTCTGAGGTGGTGACAGCTGTTTTCTGCCTCAGGAGAAACTGAAGCCAGAGTACCTGGAGGGCCTCCCTGACATGATGAGGCTCTTCTCACAGTTCCTGGGGAAGCGGCCATGGTTTGCAGGGGACAAGGTGAGAGGGAAGGTATGGGAGTTGCCATTCTTCCTGTGATTCGGATGTACCCACCCACTTACTTTGATCTTCTGCAGATCACCTTTGTGGATTTTCTCGCTTACGATATCCTTGACCTGCACCGTATATTTGAGCCAAAGTGCTTAGACGCATTCCCAAACCTGAAGGACTTCGTGTCCCGATTTGAGGTGATGCCCTTGACCGCCTTTCTCTTTGATATCTCTTGTTCCTTTGCCCTCCTTTGCTTTTCAGGCCTAGAGCTAAACCAATAATAATAATAATAACCGGCATCTATTTAGTCCTGGTTCCATGCCAGGCCCTGTGCTCAGCATAGTACATCTAGTGTGTCCACTTTAATCCTTACATCATTTCTGCAGGTTGATTGAATTATTCCTTCCATTTAACATATAAGGAAACTGAGAATGAGCAGGTAAGTTGTTTTCCCCAGTTTCCATAGCAGGCGAGGCTGTGCTGGGCTCCCTGTCAGCCTCTGAATCTATGGGGAGCAGTCAGGGCTCTCTCTCCCTTTGTGGTGCCAAAAATAAAGTCCTCAGGCCTTGTCCAACCTAGATTTCATAGCCCAGGACACTGTGGAGGAGGTAGAACATTTCAGGCGAATGCATATAGCTGGCATTATAGATTGGCACAAGGTAGGACTGATGCTGAGCACTAAATACGCAGACAGTATTCATGGCTCATCTTCAATCAGTTCTCCCTCAGGGGAATTCTGAGCCCCAGGGCTGTGTTTGAAGCTGGTTTGGGTACGTCTGTGGGTACCCTGCTGAAGGATTTTGACTTGAAGGGTTCTAAGTGGGGCACATTCCTTCCCTGTTTCTCTTCCTCTTCCTCTCCTTCCCGCCAACATTCCAAGTGTTCTACCTGTGAGGTATGGTCGCTCCCTGACTTGAACTCACGTGCACTGATCTTCTCCTCTGTTGAGATCTGTGTCAGGCACAATGGGAGATGCAAGGATGACTGCCATACTAGGGTGAGTGCAGTTAGGGAACTGCAGGCACCAGACTGTGGGGAGTATGTGGTACCAGCGGGAGCCTGGGAGCAGAGCCGTGACCTCGCCTCACGGCTAATCTTCTGTCACCTGCAGTCAACATGCTTGATAGCAGCAATATCTCCTTCAGTCCAGCTGTGGGGGTTTGAGGCATGAGTCCTACAGGTGTCTGTGCCTAGAATCTGGTTTCCTTTTCCACTCCCCGCAAGGGATCTGCTTTCTCAGCTAGTTCTCATCAGCTCTGGTTCTAGTCCAGGCTGGGTGGCCTTGGGGTTATGTAAGAGGTGTGGGGGAGGGGTGAGCTAAGGGCTGCAGCATGTGGCCTATCTGAGCCTGACTGTTTGGGCACAGGCAGTCCTGGGTCTCCTTGGATCTTTAGAAGTTTTCTGGGCACTTTATTCTGGTAAGATTGCACACAACACACCTGGGTGCCATATCTCCTGGTCCCCCGCAGCAGGGCTGGAGGTTGAGATAAGTTGGGGCCCAGTGAGATGGAGCTCAGGCACTAGGTGGAGAACTTTAGACTTTCTGCTTTCAGGGAGTGATGGTTAGAGCCTGGCCTGGTCTTTCTTTTGTGGGTTCATCCAGGTTTTGTTGAATCATCAGGTGAGACCTGCTCTCTTCCAGGCTGCACAAGTTCAGAGCCCTTGGGTCCTACTAGAAGTCCCTTCTTTGTGAGCAAACTCGGCCAGCTAGGAGCCTCCCTGTGATATAGGAGAATGTTTGTGCAGACAGGGAGTGATAGTGCCTTCTGGGGACTGAGGGGAAGGGGATAATTTGGCAGAAAGAGTTCGAACTGAAGAGAGAGCCAAGCTACATCCAGCCCTGACCCACTTGCTAGCTATATGAGCATGAGGAAGTTCTTGAACGTCTATGTACCTCAGTTTCCCTTCTGAGAAATGGCCATAGTAGAACCAACCTTGCAGGGAAGCTGAGTGGGTTTTCTAAGTCTGTATTGTAATCTCTAGTGGATCCAGAGCACCGAGCATATATAGAGTCTCCATCGGTGACAGCTCTGATTCAGGTGTGACGTTAGTTCAGCGTCATCGGAAGAGTTAACCCAGCATAGCAGGGGACCCTGAAAGACAGTGATGCTCCAACCCCTGAGTCCATGTGGAAAGGCTGCCATTGGGTCCTGATCTGCGGTGCCTGCCGTGGGACCACTCAGCCCTGTTGGCAGCAGACCCCGAGCTCTGACTTCCTTTCTCCCTTCTCAGGGTTTAAAGAAGATCTCTGTCTACATGAAGTCCAGCCATTTCCTCCCAACGCCTCTGTACACAAAGGTGGCCATCTGGGGCAACAAATAGAGCCTGGTAAGGCTAGAAGATGGGAGTGAGGACATTACCGAACCTGCTGCCTGAGGCCCTGGAGGACAGCTAGACACTCTGCACCCCTGGAGCTACCTTCTTGGTTCTTTCTCCTTCTTTTCATTCCCATCTCATCCCCAAGGCCTTAGTGACCCTCTTTACTTCCCCCAAGTTCCTATCCTGTCAGGCCTGTTGAAACCTCAGGCTCCCTAGTCCTTCAGCAAAAAAAAAAAAAAAATGTTCTCAATGTTCCCTTTTCTGCACTAAGGCCAACCTGACCTTCCGACCTGTGAGTGTTCGTGTCTGCTTTGAGAGGCCTAACTTGATCCCCTCTCCTGTGGAAGTCAGCCCCAAGGTGTCCCAGCACTGCATGAAAAACCAGTATTGGCTGGTGGGCAGGCTGTGCCCACCCAGTGTAGTGCCAGTCCTAGGACTACCAGATCCCTAGTAAATCCTAAACCACATTTGCTGTGTCTTGTCTTATTCCCTCCTGGCTCCCAGACCATCTAACTGGCACTACTACTTCCAAGGACTGACTGGAGACCCTGGTAGTAGCTGGGTTCCTCAGGATTCTGGTGGCTGTAGTAAGGGGCTTGAGGCTTCTTGCTCCCACTTCTGACACCCATAGAGCAGGAAGCCCCACACAGCGTTTCATAGGAAGGATGCCCCTTTCTGTGTCTGGATCTCTCAATCACTGATCCAGCTTGACTGGGTCCTTTCCATGGTTATGCAAAACTGTGTGTCTCAGGGCATAGGGACCCAGAGGTGGTGGGAACCCAGGAGAGAAAACTTGAATCCCTTTTGTCCTCTCTGTCACATCTGCTAGGTCTTCAAGATCCATCTTTCTGGTTTTTCTCAGATGCCTTCAAGAGGCCCTCTCTGGGCTTGCTGCACAGCTGTCATGGGGGTATTACCCTGCTTTCTGGGTACCTACCTGTGAGAGACAGTTCTTCTTTCTTTTAATGTATTTTTTGAGTCAGCGTCTCACTTTATCACCCAATCTTGGAGTGCAGTAGCACACTCATGGCCACTGCAGCGTCAAATTGCTGGGCTCATGTGGTCCTTCAGTCTCAGCCTTCCAAGTAGGTGAAACTACAGGCATGCTACCATGCCTGACTAATTTTTAAATTTATTATAGAGACGAGGTCTTGCCAAGTTGCCCAGGCTGGTCTCCAACCCCTGGGCTGAGGCAATCCTCTCACCTCTGCCTCACAACGTGCTAAGATTACAAGGGTGAGCTATTTGCCTGGTGAGATAAATTTCTTTAGTCCTTCCATAACATCAAATGTCTGTATCCTGGTATGTTCTTACTACATTCGCTGGGTATAGAATTCTAGAATAAAGACCTTAAGTCCTCTGATGGGTTTACTTACTCTTTTCCAGAATTTAGCATTTCTGATGAGCGGGGATGCCAGTGTGTCTGCATCCCTTTGCTTTTGAACTTACAAACTTTTTTTCTTTCTTATTCTGAGGTCTCTAACTCCAAAGCCCATGTGGGGATCTACAGGCAGGTCTCGTCCTGGTTTATATCCAGGAACATTCTAGCATAGGCTTCCTTTGTCCTGATCCAACAGTATCCATTTCTTCATCTGCATTGCATCCTCTTCAATGATTTTTTTCTTTTTGAGTTGGACTCTCACTCTGTTGCCCAGGCTGGAGTACAGTGGCTTGCTCACGGTCACCACAGCCCCAACCTGCTGGGCTCAGGCGATCCTTCCACCTCAGCCTTCCAAGTAGTTGGAGCTACAGGCAGGTGCCACCATGCCCGGCTAATATTTTGATTTATTGTAGAGATGAGGTCTCACCAAGTTGCCCAGGCTGGTTTCAAACCCCTGGTCTCAGATAATCCTTCCTCTTCTACTTCCCAAAGTGCTGGGATTACAGGTGTGAGCCACTGCACCCAGCTTTCTTCAATGATTTTGAATTGCATTCTGGAGTGAGCTGCTTCAGGGAAAGTTTCTCATAGCTCAGCATTTCTCAAACTATTTCACCAGAAATAGATGGCTTGTGGGTTAGGTATTCAGGCAAGACTCAGCCAAATAATTTGCAATACACATTATTGTAGCAAATTTATCTTATCTGAATGCACAACGCATTAAAAAAATGGGTCCAAATTTGAACATATATTTACCAAAAGTGAATATACAAATGGCCAGTAAACATATGGAAAGTTAGGTAGCAGAGAAGTTATAGACACCAGAAGAAACTCCCTTATAATACTAGAATGTCTAACATTAAAAGGACTAACAGGACCAGGTGCAGTGGTTCTTGTCTGTAATCCCAGTACTTTGGGAGGCCAAGGCGGGAGCAGTGCTTGAGCTCTGGTGCTGGAGACCAGCCTGGGCAGCACAGAGGGACCTCGAATCTACAAACATTTTTTAAAAACTAGTTAGGTGTGCAATGTGCCTATAGTTCCAGGTACACAGAAGGCTGAGGCAGAAGGATTGCCTAAGTCCAGGAGGTTGGGGATGCAGTGAGCCATGATTGTGCCTGGGTAACAGAGTGAGGCTCTGACTCAAAAGAACTGATAACTGCTTTTGAATTTATGGAGTACCCCAAACTCTAATACATTGCTGCTTGAGAACACTTTGGCATACTGGTGGTACCGACTAGAGCAAAACACATTGAGAACACTTTGGCATACTGGCAGTATTAACTAGAGCAAAACATATATCGTCCTGTGACCCAGAAATCCCACCCAACAGGACTAAGTGCTGATGTATTCCAAGAGTTATGTATGATGATATTGATAGCTGTTTTATTTTAAGTAGGCAATACATGAGAGCAATCAAATTCCATGAATAAAACAGCAGACAAATAAAATGTGGTTTATTAATATAATTTCTTTTTTTTTTTTTTGAGTTGGAGTCTCACTCTGTCACCCAGGCTGGGGTGCTGTGGCATGCTCACGCCCACCCCAGCATCGATCTGCTGGGCTCTGGCGATCCTTCTGCCTCAACCTTCCAAGGAGCTGGAACTAAAGACGTGCATTACCATGCCTGGTTAATTTTTTGATGTATTTGTAGAGACGAAGTCTCGCCAAGTTGCCCAGGCTGGTTTTGAGCCTGTGGGCTCAGAAAATCCACTTACCTCGGCCTCCCAAAGTTCTGGGATTACAGGCTGAGCCACTGAGTTCAGACTATAATTCTATTTTTTTTTTTTTTTGAGTTGGAGTCACTCTGTCGCCCAGACTGGAGTGCAGTGGCTGCTCCTGGCCACCGCAGCCTTGACCTGCTGGGCTCTGGCGATCCTTCCGCCTCAGCTTTCCAAGTAGCCGGAATTACAGGCATGTACTACCACGCCCGGCTGATTTTTTGATTTATTGTAGAGATGAGGTCTCGCTGCCCAGGCGGGTCTCGAACCCGCGGGCTCAGGCAATCCACTCACCTCAGCCTCCCAAAGGCGCGGGATTACAGGCTGAGCCACTGAGCCCGGCTATAATTCCATTTTTTAAGATGGAATACTATACTACAATGAAAATAAGTGTACCGAAACCACATGTAACAGCATGGATAAACTTCACAGACATGTTGAGAAAAGGATCCGACAGAAAAAGCACATAGTATATTATTCAATTTACGTGAAAATTAAGAACAAGGCTAAGGACTCCATGGTGCTGGAGGTCAGATGAATGGTGACCTTGGCTGGATGTGGAAAGTGGTTCACTGATGGAACCTGGTAGAGTATGGGGGATGTTCTGTCTTGATCTGGATGGTGATCACATGAGTGAATACATGTAGAAAAGCCAGAGAGGTGTACGCTTAAGAGCTGTGTACTTCACTGCATATAAGTTACATTTCAAAGAAAAGCATGCATTGATGATATGTCCTGAGTTATCTGTGAGCGTGTTTTGTCTGCTTTCTCCCATAGGATATGAATGCCATGGAGGCATGTATTTTTCTGTCTTCTTGTTCACTGATGTTCCAGGTGTTTGTGTAACACCTAGAATGATCCCTGAACATAATAGATGCTCAATGAATAGTTGTTAAGCAAATGATATTCTAACTTTAGTGGTGTCACTTCAAATTCTCCTCTGATTTTTATTCATTCCTACTTCTTGGGTACATAAGTTTGCTGTGTTCACACACTCTTAGGTTCTGCAGTAACATTTCACTAAATATTTGTACCTGCTGGAAGTTCACATGCGTGTGCATCTAATATTTAATGGCTATCTAGATTTATTTCTTGTAGCTAAATTACAGTTTGCTTAGTCATTCTTATGCTATTGGGTGGATGTTCTAATCTGTTTATCTTTCAGATGGCAGGAACATTACCTTTGAACTAATTGCTTTCCCGGCTTTGATTATTTTGTTTGGGTAGATCCCCAAAGCAGATAACTACGAGGCAAAGGGTAAGAGTGGCTTTATGCTGTTATAACAGATTAATTGATTGCTCAGTAGGGAGAATAATTTAATAGGGATGCTGCCAGCAACACACGTAGACCTTCCTGCACTACCTGAGGCACTTTTGGGGTCACAGTCTCATCTTACGAAACTTTTATAGGTGTATAAAAATACCTTGATGTTTTCTCCCTTTACCTTTGTAAAAAATAGTTTGTGCATGTTTTTGCCTGACGAATCAGTGTCTATAAATGTCCCTGTGTGTGTATTTCCCTGTGAAAAACTTTCTATTTCCCACTACCTATGGCTTGATCAATTTGACCTTGGCACTTCAAACTCAGAGACCAAAGTCTTTGCTTTGGCCCTTCCCCTGGGATTGCTCCCATCACACTGATATTGTTCCTGTGTCCACATTGGGTATCTGGGAGTGTATCGCCTGTGAGGAATTTTTGGGTTGGGGGACCTGGTCTTCCAGTGATAGGTGCTAAGTTGAAGGCATCACCTTTTATACTGACTCGCTGCCAGCCTGAGCCTCCCAGGGCCTGCGGGCACTGGGCAGGCAAGAGGCAAAAGCTGACGCCGGAGGGGAGGGGAGGGAGAAGAACTTTGCTCTTTCAGGATCTGGCCTGTGACCCAAGGGCACAACCAAGTCCCCATGGATCTAGCAGGGGTGTGGTTGGAGGTGGGGCTGGGGAAGCAGGTGAGTCAGAGCCCTGTCTTGGGCTTCTGGGCATCCAGACCTCGCTCACAGAAACCTCCAGCCTGGGAGGCTGGGAAGCTGGGGTGGAGTTCTCTCCTTCCAGCCGGGAGGGAGCAACTGGTTCCTGCCCTCTGGTGTCTTGGGCCCATTTCCTCACCGGGTAGAGGTGAAGACATTTAAAACCGGCCAGCTGAGGGCCTAGGGGGTGGGCGCTATCACTAGGCCCCGACCAAAACCCCACCCCTGCCCTCCCAGGAACCTGCAGTGAGTCACCGGCCGGTCCCCCTGAGTCGTGGCCGCTGCGTCCTGAGCACCAGCGCCATGCCGATGATACTGGGGTACTGGGACATCCGTGGGGTGAGTGAGGGTGTAAGGGCTCCGGACGCTACACAACAAGGGGCTAAGGGGTGGGGACGTGTTAAGCAGGGGCGCGGATTCTAGAGCTGGTTCCTCTTCAGGGCAAGCTGGAACATGCTGCCTGTCACTCCCTGTGCCTGCCGCTGTGTGTGTGTGTGTGTGTGTGTGTGTGTGTGTGTGTTGCTGTGTTAAGCAGGGGCGCGGATTCTAGAGCTGGTTCCTCTTCAGGGCAAGCTGGAACATGCTGCCTGTCACTCCCTGTGCCTGCTGCTGTGTGTGTGTGTGTGTGTGTGTGTGTGTGTGTGTGTGTGTGTGTGTGTGTTGCTGTGGTGTAGAGTAGGGGCTCACCTGGAGCAGATAAAGTCACGCCTCTCTGCCCTGTGCCTTGGCCATCTCTCCCAGCTGGCCCACGCCATCCGCCTGCTCCTGGAATACACAGACTCAAGCTATGAGGAAAAGTTGTACTCCGTGGGGGATGGTAAGGGCACCCTCTTGTCCTGACCCCTGCCCTCTCCTGCTGAGTTGGTCCCAAGCAACCCCTGTGTGGCCACCCTTTGCTACCTCTGCAGGCCTCCACCTGCTGGGGCTGCAGTCAATCCATCCCTAGACCCCTTGGAGGGTGCAGGCTGGCCTTCCAAGGCAGGTCGCTGGGAGGAGATTGCTGGGCCTCCTTGCATAGATAATTGAGATGGATTCCACCTTAAGGCCTGCCTAAACCTTTGTGAGTCTTAGTCATGTAGGGTCCAGAGTCCTTACAAAGAATCTTCCCCTACCAGATTCTAGATCTACCTGACTCCGGGGTCTTGCCACTGAGTTCTTGGGAGGGTCCCAGGAAGGTGGGTGGGACTCTGGGAGGCTTGTTTTCACCCCCTTTTTTCCACCACAGCTCCTGACTATGACAGAAGCCAATGGCTGAATGAAAAATTCAAGCTGGGCCTGGACTTTCCCAATGTAGGTGCAGGGGAGGGGGCGGTTTTGGGGAAAGCCAAGGAGTCTCTGACTGCATGTCCTGTCCCCAGCCTAGAGGTTGAGGGTCAGGTGCCTTCTGCCTTCTACTCTCATGCCTGGTTCTCTACACTGCCTTTCCATGACATTCCATGTCCCATTTATCTACTACTTTTATCTACTACTGTTGAGTATTCTTACTTAGGGCCCAGCACGGGCAGGTACAGTGAGTGCCATCACCTGTGCCCTAGCCTAATGCCTGGCGGCCCGACTGACCTGACTTCTTGCCCGTCAGCTGCCCTACTTAATCGACGGGGCTCACAAGATCACCCAGAGCAATGCCATCCTGCGCTACATTGCCCGCAAACACAACATGTGTGAGTGGGGCTGGCTGTGGGTGAGGGGACAGTGGCTTTCCCCTGGGCTTGGCTGGAAGGGGAGGCTGAGCGCAAGTCTCTGTTGTGTGTGTGGCAGGTGGGGAGACAGAAGAGGAGAAGATTCGAGTGGACATGTTGACCAACCAGCTGTGGGACACTTTCATCCAGCTGGCCAGACTCTGTTACAATCCGGACTTTGTGAGTCCTACCTTTCCTCTCCAGCCTGGTTCCTGGTAGCGTTTGGGTCAGGAGACAGGAGTGTGACATTCCCACCTAACTGGTCCTCTTTCCATCTGAACTTCTTGCACTACTAATTCTCCAGACTATTTCCTATGACGCCATCTGAGTGACCCTCAAACCCCAAAGTGGCATCAAAATAAAACCTCTACCTCACTCTTCCCACCGATCTTATCACAGAGTCCAGACTTCCCAGAGGGGAAATTTGCTTTCTAGACCATAGTATTTGCTTCCAGAATCTGCTCCATCTCTGATCCCTGACCTCTGCTGTGGGCCACCTCCCCCAGGTGTCTGAAGACAGACACTCAAACCATGAGGAAAGCAAGTACAGAGGAATGTAGTAGTAGCACCCTCATATTCTGGCTTCACCACTTTTTTCCAAGTGTGGTCTTGACATGCACAGGGATCAATGCCTTTTCCTAACAGGAGGATCAGGGGACTCCCGAAAGGCCTTAGTTTCTCTCCTTCCTCCATTTCCACCTGAAATTCTTCTCATCGTTTCTGGAATCCACTCAAATGTCTGAGGTGGTGACAGTTGTTTTCTGCCTCAGGAGAAACTGAAACCAGAGTATCTGGAGGGACTCCCTGAGACAATGAAGCTCTACTCACAGTTCCTGGGGAAGCGGCCATGGTTTGCAGGGGACAAGGTAAAGGGGGAGTGCCTTGGGGACTGTGGGTTGCTATACTTCCTGTGTTATGGAAGGTCCTGTCCACTTACCTTTGACCTTGTGCAGATTACCTTTGTGGATTTCATCGCTTATGATGTCCTTGAGAAGATCCGCATGTTTGAGCCCACATGCCTGGATGCGTTCCCAAACCTGAAGGACTTCATATCCCGTTTTGAGGTGATGCCTCCGATCTTCCTTGCTCTTAGATGTTTCTTGATCATTTTCCCTTCTCTGTGATGCTTTCCTGGTTCTGGAAAACCAACCTGGGAAATTTGGCAAGACCCTGTCTCTATATTAAACCAAAAAAATGAGCTGAGTGTAGTGGGGGATGCCTATACTTCCAGATTTTTGTAAGACTGAAGCAGAAGGATTGCCTGAGCCCGGCATGTTGATGCTGCAGTGCCCATAACATTGCAACTGCACTCCAGCCAAGATTGCACAGTAAGACTCCAATTCTGGAGCAAAAATGAAGACCAATTTGCCTTTATTGAACACTGTATTTATGCTAGGGCCTCTGCTCAGCATATTACATCTCATGTGTCCAATTTAATCCTTACAACATTCCTATAGGTTGATTGAATGATCCTTCCCATATTACAGATAAGGAAACTGAGAATGAGCGGGTCAGTCATTCGTTCAAGTTTCCAGAGCCAGACGAGGTTGTACTGTGTTCCCTGTCAGCCTCTGGATCTATGAGGAGCAGTTGGGGGTCTCCCTTTTTTGGTTTCAAAAGGAAAGTCCTCAGGCCTTGTCCAGCCTGGGTTTCACAGCCCAGGACAGGCAGAACATTTTAGTAGTGTGTGTGTGTAGCTGACATTAGTTCACAAGGTAGGGTTGATATCAAGTAACTAAGACACACAGAATTTATACCCTATCTCCAGAAATGCTTTGCCCCAATCACATAACTATCTGGGAAAGTGCTGTTGTCCCAGGGTGTGGTAGGAGCCCGATTTGCATATGTGTGTGACTGTCCTCGCTGAAGGAGCTTGACTTGAAGTGTTTTGTGGCTGTTGTGGAGTGGGTTTGTTCCGTGCTTCTCTTCCTCTCCTTTTTTTTTTTTCCTGAATTTGAGCTGTGCTCCAAGTACCCATGACCTCACCTCACAGTTAATCATGTGTCACCCATAGTCATCGTGTGTGATAGCAGCAATCTCTCCTTTAGTCCAGATATGGGGATTTGAAGGGTGAGTCCTCCAGGTGTTTGAGCCTAGAATCTCTATCTTTCTCACTTCTTCCAAGGGATCTGCTTTCTCAGCTGTTTTTTTTTTTTAATTATTTATTTATTTTTTATTATGACGTTGTGGGGTACAGTTAAGGGTTAGGTATACAATTGCATTTCATTCAGGCACCCTGTTGATATGGGTGTTTCCCCATTCCCAGACAGATATTTGCTACTGTTAATTCCATCTCCCTCCCCCCACCATAGTTTCCCAGTACTGTCAGTCATTTTCGTATAGTATTGCATTGAATGTTTAAGGTCCATTATATGAGTGAGAACATGTGATACTCGGATCTTTGTTTCTGTGAGAGGTCACTCAGTATTATAGACTCTAGTTCCATCCAGGTTGCTGCGAAATTCATGATTTTGTTCTTTTTTATGGCTGCGTAGTATTCCATCGTGTATATGTACCACATTTTTTCAATCCAGTCCTCTTTTGACGGGCAGCATGGCTGTTTCCAGGTTTCTTGCTATTGTGAACAATGCTGCAATAAACATGTGTGTGCAGGTATCTTTTTTATAGAGTGATTTGAGTTCTTCAGGGTATATTCCCAGTAGGGGGATTGCGGGATCATATGGAAGGTCAATTTTTAGAGCTTTTAGGAATCGCCACACTGCTTTCCACAGAGGTTGCACTGGTTTACACTCCCACCAACAGTGTAGAAGTGTTCCCTTTTTGCCACACCCTCTCCAGCAGCTGTTATTTTTTGAGTTGTTGATAATCGCCATTCTGACTGGGGTTAGGTGGTATCTCAGTGTGGTTTTGATTTGCATCTCCCTGATGATTAATGAGGTTGAACATTTCTTCATGTGTTTGTTGGCTGCTCGAATGTCTTCCTTTGTGAAGAAGTGTCTGTTCATATCTTTTGCCTATTTTATAATGGAGTTGTTTGTTTTTTTTCTTTTCAGCACGTTTGAGTTCCTTGTAGATCCAGGATGTTAAGCCTTTGTCAGAACTGGTGTTGGCAAATATTTTTTCCCAGTCTGTAGGCTGTCTCCCTGCTCTCTTGATGGTTTCTTTGGCTTTGCAGAAGCTTGTCAGTTTAATAAAGTCCCACTTGTCTATCTTCTCTCTTATGAGCTGTGGGTTTTGGGTTTTGTTCAGGAATTGGATGCCAGTTCCGATTTCCATGAGGGTATTTCCTTCATTTTCTAAGGTTCTTATGGTTTGAGGTTTTACATTTAGGTCTCTGATCCATTTGGAATTAATCTTTGTGCATGGGGATAGATAGGGGTCCTGTTTCAATCTTCTGCATGTGGTCAGCCAGTTTTCCCAGCACCATTTACTGAATGGGTTCTCCTCTCCCCTGTGGTAGGTGATGGAGGCTTTGTCGAAGATGAGTTGGTTGAGAAATTGAGGTTTTGCTTCTGGAATCTCAATTCTATTCCTGTTATATACCAATATATATATGCCTGTTCCTATACCAATACCAAGCTGTTTTGATGATTGTAGCTTTATAGTAAAGTTTGAAGTCTGGTAATGTGATACCACCTGCTTTGTTTTTTTTGCTGAGGATTGTTCTGGCTATTCTTGGACGTTTGTGTTTCCATATGAATTCCTGTGTTGTTTTTTCTAGGTCTGGGAAGAATGTTGCTGGTAATTTGATGGGTATTGCATTGAATTTGTAGATTGCCTTAGGTAAGATGGACATCTTCACAATGTTGATTCTTCCGATCCATGAGCATGGGATATTTTTCCACTTGTTTGTGTCAACTTTGATTTCTTTGAGCAGTGTTTTGTAGTTTTCCTTGTAAAGGTAGGAAGATGCCAAGGTATTTCATTTTTTTGTGTGGCTATTGTGAATGGAATTGTGTTTTTTATTTGGGTTTCTGTTTGTTTATTATTGGTGTAGAGAAATGCGATTGTCTTTTGTACATTTTGTATCCTGAGACTTTGCCAAAGG